CCCAAGAACGTCGCGACCGTTTCAAAGAATATGAAACCGCCTCCGAAACCCAAAAGGAAAACCTCCAAGAAGAAGAAAACGCTCGTTTCACCCAAGGCGAGAACGCCAATCAATGAGCCAATTACTTCCAAGATAACGCTAACCGAGAATGTGGAGCGGGTGATGAAAGTGTCGGCACTGAATCCGATAACAACTTCTCCGGTCAATTCTCCTTTACCGATAGTCTAACCGCCATTAACAAATTAAAAAACATTGGGCAAATGATACCCCCCGGCATGGAACAAGGCATGTCCTCCAATAAACCCTATTGAGAAGTAGTCATGCATCATCCCCTAACCTATATTTTCTTATTTATCGGTATCATTATTGCCATTATGGCTGCCGCCACTAAAAAAGATAGAGTTTAGACCAGTTCACCACCGCCTATTGTCTAATATAAAAAAGTCTATGAAAAGTAATCCAAAAAGTAAAATTAAAGAAATTAAACCAGAAAATCAACCTGAACCTAAATGTTGTAATTGTCAACCCTTACCTAACTGAGTAAAATATTTGGTCATTGCCTTAGTAATTGCCACCTTCATTATCGTTTGTTTTAGTCTCCATTACTTATGAAAGTTAAGTGATATTTGACAAGCGATTAAAGGAAGTAAATAAGCCTTCACCTAGAATAATAGGCAAAAGTGCCAAAACTGTGCTTGTCTTGGGCTAAAAACATAAGGCGAGTTTTTATTATTATTCCAACCAAACAAAATTATTCAGACCAAAAAATTAAAAAACTATAATTATGCCAGAAATAAATAATCTATGATTTTTTATTCGCAAGAAAATTAAAAAACTATAATTATGCCAGAACCATTAACTACTGCCGCCATCAGCGGTCTGCTCATTACCAGTTTAAAAGAAGTCGGTAAATGAATTTGAGGTTATGCCAAAAAAACTTTACTAACTTTTTGAGAAAATAAGTGAATTTTAATCATTGCGGGGGCTTGTAATGGTCTTTTTGTCTATTATTACAACATGCTCTATCGTTGATTTGCCTTCCCGCCCCTGTTCAATCTAGCTGTCTTAGGTATCTTTGCTATCATTAATATTAGTTGAGTAGTTGGTTATTGAAAGAGTGTTCCCGAAGGAGGAGGTAGTCCGGGTGAAAGTCCTACCGTTGGCACGGGCAATTAAAAAGTTATGTTTAAGAAATGTTTTTTTTGTCAAGCCCGCGTTATCTTTGGTGGTAGTTTTGGCGAATATAGTATCTGTCTCCAATGTTTATTTAAAAATTAAATTATGCTAAGTATCTTTAAATTTTGAGGGAATTTAATTACCCAAGTGGTAGTCAAATGACAAAGTATTGAAATTAATGGTTTTTACCCCTTTTGATATCTGGTTGGAATTATGCTCTTGACCGTGTTTGGATTTTTTATCCGCGGTCTGTTATTTAGTGGAGTTGGTGGAAGTGCGAGCAGTAGTTTAGCCGGTAAAGTTAGTGTAAAAGTTGATAAATCTAAAAGTAAAAAATAACTAATCTCTTTTTACTCCTCCCCTTTTACCCCTTAATGTTCAAGGTCTTTTAAGGTTGGGAATAAAACCCTTCTCCTCAGACCGAGTTTAACCGAAAATCTCAACTGGCTCTAAAACCCCTTCTTTACCCCTTTTTAGAAAAAATTTTGCAAAAGTCTCTAACTTGTGAATATAGTGAGTGGAGAGGGAATATTAGATTAAAGCATTGGTCGGTAAGGTCGGGAATATAATCAACGAATTAATCTAATAATCCTCAACTATTACTTACTGAGGTTTAAGATATGCCAGGTAAAAATAAAAACTAAAATATAATAATATAGACTAGAAATATAGTTATGAACATGAGAAATGAATATCTTGTTATTATTTATTATTTGTCTAGTTATGCCTCGTTCTCTCTTTCCGCCTTTTTCACAAAGTTGGTTATTTTTAATAAAAATATTTCTGCAATGCTTCAGGAATGATTAATTTATTTTCTTTTTCCTGATAATAATACTCACATAAAGTAGTAATTAAGCGGTCAACCGCCAAGGCCGAACCATTAAGGGTGTGAGGATAATATTTTTTTCCCGCCTGGTTTTTTACTCTAATTTGAGCTCGTCGACTTTGAAACTCTTCACAATTACTGCACGAGGAGATTTCTAGCCATTTTTTACTGACTGGCAATCAAACTTCAAGGTCATAAGTTTTAGCAGCCGTAAATCCTAATTCCTCGTGACAAAGCTCAATTACGCGGTGCGAAATTTTTAATCGGTGGAGAATATTCCGAGCATCATTCACCAATTTTTCTAACTCGGCATAAGAATTTTCTGGTTCCACTATTTTTACTAACTCAACTTTATGAAATTGATGGAGCCGAACCAGTCCTTTATTCTCCCGACCGGCTGCCATTCTTTCCGCCCGAAAACAAGGACTATAGGCACATAAATTCAAAGGTAAATCCTTTTCGGCTAAGATTTGATGTTGATAAAGGTTAATTAAACTTACTTCGGCAGTTGGAATAAGATAAAAATTATTTTCTTCGGCTTCTTTTTCTATTTTGTAAAGGTTATCTTGA